AAATGCATACATGAAAAGATAGTTGTACAAATTTACTTTTTTTATTATTATAGCAATTTATTATTTTTACTTTACACATATTTTTCATCGCCGAATTTCGTAACAAATACATTTGCTCAAAAAGTATTTTGTGCTAAAGCAGTTTATTTATATTAACATATATATATTTCCTACCCAAGTAATATATTTAAATTATAATCTAATATCTTTACATTTCAATATCTTATCATGAAATTATTTATCCTTTGGAGATGTGATGAACCTGTATATATTTGGCGATAATAAGAAATAAACCACAATAAACTTAATTTTATTTGTTTAAAAGAAATATATATAAATCTCGGTTGCTCTATGATGTAAGAAAACATGAGTTGCTCAAAACGTCATTTTTTCATTTATTTCTCATCAAGCATATTTATTCGAATTTATTTTAAAATCAAAAAATATTCATAAACCTATATGTTTAATAAAAATATAAATATTTCATATAATTTAACTTTAGTGAAAAATTAAAATATGGATAATATTTCATATAATTTAACTTTACTAAAAAATTAAAATAATGATTAGGTTATACATATTACATAATCGATCGATATCTTGTTGCAATATGCGTTATAAAAAAACAAGTACGCTACTTGTAAGCGATCGTTATCACTAGCAAACAAGTCTGGTTTCATAGCCTCGTATTGCGTATCGTAAAGAATTATTAATTAATTTTAAATGACCCGATTATTATATAATTTTGGAGACGAATTTATCCAAAAGCTAAGGATCATGATGCCTGAAATCCAATCTCTGAGTTAGATGATGCGAGAGGTGACTAGTTGGTACATTTTGAAAGATAGATGTTTGTTGCCTCATCGATAGAGTACTGGGCAATGGTTGAATAATAGGTAATGTAGGGGGTAATGGCAATGGTGTTAAATGCTGCGGAAATGGTATTCCCGATTGTGATTGTCCCGGATAGTTGAAAAACCTGCAAGAAAACATATGTTAGTGTATACAAAACATAATTTATATTTAAAGAATTAAGAAGGAGATTGTATTTGCGAAACAAAATTATTCATCTTTGTATTTGTATTTTTAAAATTACGGAATCATTGTGTCTAAATCATTTTTTTTATTTTTTTCTTATGTGATTGAGTTGAATCAGTTTTTTCCTTAAATAAGATTTTTGTTTAAATTTTAATTTAAAAAGTTAAGTATTTTACTGTAACTTTGACTTCTCATAACTTTTGAAGAAATTATAATTATTAAATATTTAAAATTAATCAATCAAATTATATCAATTTCTGTTCTACTATTTTCTGTCTATTATTTAAAAAAATGAAAAAATTATATTTTTAACTATATTTTCCTCCAGATTCGCAAAAATTTATATAAATGTATTAGTAATAAAATCTCGCAAAACAAATAATATATAAACAATAAAAATCTTATTTTAATTAGACTGTGAGAACACAATCAATAAAAATTAGAATTAAATGCCTATAATGAAGGTGGATCTTTAATGCTTAAACAATTCAACGTGAATTTTTAATAATTTGATGCTCAATCAGGCATCATATTAGAAAGATGTTAATATGCTGAAAATAAATTTATTGCGAAAAATATTTACTTCGGCCGAATCTCTTGCATTCTATGTAAGAATCCTTATGCTTTTAAAATACCGAGGCGTATTCTAAAGTCAAATGGCTTGTCGCTCGCTGAGATTAACTCGCGATCTATAGATCCGGATTCAATTCCACCTGCGCCCACATACGCGATTTTTTAAGGAGCCTTTAAGAGATTATCAAAAAGCTCCATTTGATAATTAAGATAGCGAATTACCAAATATCAAAATCAAATATAAATCTCTGAGATTAAGACGGGGAGCACAGATACTTGCATAACGCATAACAAAATGCATGTAATGCATAAGAAAATGTACCAATCAAAGTCCTTTGTTTCCTTCCTTTCCATAAAATAAAGAACTTTGGTTGAATTTCTTAAGCTTTATGTGTTATTTGTTGTGCAAGAGTCTATGCTCTCCACTTTATTCTGGTTGTATTTCATCTTTTATTATGATTTATTTTTATCTGTTAGATAAATTTGGTAATCCGCGCATGTGAATGTAATTTTGCTACTTACAACAGATAAGATTTACTAAAAGGTAGAACAACCGGGCCCTAGACTTATCAGCTAGTGAATTAGGTCCACATGCTACCTAATTGGAGCTCTTTACAAATGTTTCGCCTCCTCCTCCTCCCCGCCGTCAGCGGAATCATTACTTAATAAATGTTTTTAATAAATAAAATATACAAAATGAAGAATTTCTTCTTCGAGTTATGTCCGTTTTTCTACGTTTCGCTTCATTGTGCGCCGTACGAAATGCAAGAGATCTGAGTTTGATTCCCGACCGAGATAATATTTGCAATAAATTTATTTACAGTTTTTCAGTATATTAACATCTTTCTAATCTCTAATTGAGCATTTTAAATTATTAAAAATTGCTTGTCAATTTAATTTGTGATATTATTACAATAGTTTAATAGCATTTATAATCTGGAAAATTAATTCGGTGCGCAGTTCGAAGAATTAGAAATATGGTATATATATATATATATATATATGCATGTACATATATAATATATATATAATTCACATTGAATTATTTAAGAATTAAAGATCCATCTTCGTTATAGACGAATAATATCTCCTTTACAAGGAGAAGAAAGCTTTTATTGAAAACTATTGAAATTTTTTTATTAAATCTATACCATAAGCGATCACCGACAAAAATTGGTCGTGGTGCTGGAATTCCTAAGCTCGAATAGTATTGCTGCGCAAATAGCTCGACGTCATTAGTGTACTTTCTTTTCCACTTAGTCCGTCTATTTTGGAACCATATCTTTATCTGTAAAAGTTAAGAGAGGTTTATGTATGATGCATGAAATAATGGAAGTTTGTCAATTAATTAAAGTATTTAGGAGACTAACTGAGATCAAGTATTAACGGTAAATTTGTATTAAAAAGTTACTGCTAGTGCTTTCGATCATATAAGTTCTAATGTCGTTTTTGATAATACGTATATGTTATAATTAACATAAATAAACATAAATAAAAATGAAATAGAATGTATTATGTAATTGTCTATCAATTAATACGAGATTTATTAATATGGATGAATATATATTTAAATTTCTATCGATTAATTTAGATCGATTTTATATACTTTAGATCTATTTATGAAATTGCTAAAAAATGTTGTTCTTTTTATAATCCAATTTTAATGAACAGTAGCATATTGTAGAAAAATAATGTCATCTTTTATACAGATCAAAATTTCTCAAAGAGTGTCTACCAGCAGTACCAGCCAGTTCGCGACATAAGGAGCCGACGACGTATTCTAATTAAAAAATCGACGCCTCTCCGGTTCGTCGCCTCGACGGCGCGCAACAGCCGTCGCTCGGTACATTTTGTTCCGCGGCGGATGCAAGCCTCGCGACGATGAAACGTACGAGATGGCTGGAACTTACGAGAAGGGGAAAATAGGGGCTCTCTCGAACTGGCTCGTTAACTCTGAGAAATATTGTGACAGTTATGTCTGCGACACGACGCGTCTCTTTCTTGCTTCTGATCTGTCGTCCGATCATTCTTCCTTTCGACCGCGATTGCAGAGATAATTATCCGGCTCGTTCGCGATATTTCGACCGGCACTGGCAATAATTGCCGGCAAGTAACTGTGCGATGACGGCGTGGCACAATCTCTGCAATAGCGAGTATTGAGGGTGCGGGTCATAAATTAATTAATTTAAAGCGCGGGTGAGTATTAAGCGCACGCTACAAAGTGCATTGCCGAGACTTACGCAACCATTGCACTTTGCGAGCTTTGCGAAGGAATCGTCATGTTAGAAAATTATAGACTGCTCTTTCTGGATCGGTTAATATTAGAAGATAATATTACAGAAAGTGGCATGATTATGGACAATGCAGGAATAAGAGCAAGATATCACGAGAAAGACGAAAAAAGAAAATTATAGAATGCATTTAGACTAAAGAATGAAATCTATTAAATTATTGTAAATATGATATTGATAACTTATGAAATAATTTTTAATATTCTGCTTTAAATTATACGAAATATTTTTGCGTAAAGCTTTCTTTTTATTTTATTTTAAATACTATGGTCGAGTTCCGATTACAAAAAAAAAAACATTTGAAAAGGTTAAATACATAACAAAAAGCTTCCTTCCATATCAGTTCACGAGAAAGAAGGGTGGAAGTGCTAATTGGTTTTAAAGGATGATCCTCCCCCATGGCGCCACGACTTGGCGCCTGCACATATGGTGCTCCATAGGCTCATAATTTAGAATTAGTTGATTTTAAAGAACTCGAAGTACAACAGAGTTAAACTTCTTCAGGTGTTGAGAAAGGTCTTTGAGGAAGTCAAACTCATTATCGCGATTTATTGAATACAATATCCTGTTTTCAGATATACTATTTCAATCTTCTGCGTTCTGTTCCAATTAAACTTATTTATGATCAGTGAATTCTATAATATACTGAAAAACTTGCAAGGGGAAAAATCAAACAATCCTCAGGCTCGGTTATTTCCACGGTAGCAAGCTTCTCAATACGTATGTTATAAAGTTCACTGTTTATTTATTATTCTAGTTCTGTTTATGATGTTTCAAGAGAAATATTTCGATGCACGATTTGCAAAATTGGATATGTATATAAATTTACACTGAAATATTTAAGCACATTATGATTTTCTTTGACCGAAAATAGAATTTCTCTTACTTATTATAATTAGACTTATTATCATCCAATTTCATTATAAAACTGTTTATAACATGAACTTAATATAGGAATATACTGAACTGGTTAGCAGCGGAATTATAAATAGTGTTTGTAAGAATTAGAGTGAAAAGACAGCTAATATTTAGCCTTGAAAATTATAATATATATAATATTATAATGTAGTATCTTTTAAAAAGAAAAATTCATTTAAGAAGAAATTATGGAAAATAAAATATTTACTTGCGTTTCCGTGAGCTTTAAATTTTTGCTCAGCTGCAACCGTTTTGCCACACTCAAGTACTTATTTCTTTCGAATTCCGCCTCCAAGGATTTAATTTGCGTGGCGGTGAACGCTGTACGTGGTCTCTTCTTCCTTTCATCGTCGCTAATAGCGGCGACAGTCTTCTCCTGGATGTCCCTGTCCGTGCTCGTAATTGAATTCGCGCCACTACTGCTGGTGCACGCCTCTGTAAAAATATTCCGTCCCTTATATATTGGAGTAAGTAACACGAATAAAATAGCTCTGCTAAAACAGAAGCTCTTTAAAATAAAAGCTCTTTATTCTTCAAATTCTGCAAGCAATTAATGGAAAATCAGTAAACTAACAATTTAACTATAAATATAAATTTGAAAATAATTTTATTAGACTATCAAAATAATTATATGGGACACTCAAACTGGTTGCTAGAACATTAAAATTTTTTGCTTATTATGTTTACTTATTGAGTTTGTTACATAATTATTTTAATGGTTTAACAGAATTATTTTCAAATATGTATCTAACTAAATTTTTAGATACTTCAGCAAAATAGTTTTTTCCGTGGCATATGTATCGACAATATTTATGCGACGCGTTATTTAAATGCTTTTTTGACAAACGAATGCTATATATCGGAAGTAAACTATCTAAAATATGACGATTATTTAAGTATTGCAAATTTTAAAACGCAAGTTCCTCGACATGGGAAAGAGAAAGTATCACAACGGGATGAAAATAATTGATACGAGAAATCGCGTCATCATTCATTCACAATCTGCTGTATATTTCGCGGACACCATATCTTTATCCTTTTAATCGCTTTTAAAAGAAGGATAATACGTGTGAACCCATGCTGTTAAGTGCGAGCGGACTCCAATTACTCTCATGGAATCCTCTTTCTCATCAATCTCATGACTTTTTGTACGTCGAGTTGTTTATATTTATATTTATCCCGGCTTACAAGACTTGCCATACACGACGTCGAGCGTGTCATGAAAAATGTCTTCGGGCTTGCTTTTAGGCGGTTAGAAACAAGACCGCGGTCTCTTAAGCGTCGAAGGATCATCTTCTAATTATCTGCCCATTCGTCATCTGACGAAAAAGTGTGGCATCGTAACAGTCAACTAAGCTTTCACGCTTTCGAACACACACACAAACGCTGAGAATATTATGCTACTAATATTGATCGTCGTTGAAATAATCTCGAGAATTTTTCAACAACTTTTCAAATTTTTTTTCCAAACAGCAGTGCTAATTAATTTGAAATATTAATTTCAAAAAAATATAATTTATTTATCAATTATATATAAATAATACTAAGATTACAAGTTGAAAATTGAAATTATAATTATATCTATTATATAAGGCTAGTCTATTATTATTATTCTTATAGTTTCAAGTAATATTTTAGCTGTTAATATACAATAATTTTATTGGTGATTGATTTATGACATTTTAAGACTGTACTCTTAAAATGATTATATAAAACCAATTAATATATCAGCGTAAAAAAATTAGAATAAAATTGAGAATAAAAACTGACAATTATAAAATCTTTAAAATAAAAACAATATCTACTCCATAATTATTTAAATCCATTGGCAAGTTATTTTAATAGAAAACTATTCGATTTACGGGAAGAAAAACGGGAAAATTCAACTTATGGTTCAGGTGGTTTCTCGTGCACTGCGATAATAAATATTCCGCAAAAGCTATTCGCGGCGACATTATGCCAAGAAGCGCCGTTTACTGGCTACTAATTGTCAGATGGCGACGTAATTGTCGCATTTCTCGCGCTTTTTTTGTGGCTTCCTCGCCTATAGTCGTACTGCAGAATTGTCGGCTAAAACTGTACCATCTCTAATTCACTTCACGTGAAACGCACTACTGACGTGCACACTGGATGTAGTTATCCACATCCCAAAAGAAAATCATGTCAGCTGTTGTGGTAATATTTCGTTTCTGGATCACTTTCTGTATCTTTTAGATACATTTGCAGAATATAATATTGAAACTCTGTATAATATAAAAACTTCAAATTTCTTTTTGTCTTAACAAACATTAAACTTTTTTCATATTTCTCAAATGTTTGATTTAAAAAAAAATTGTTCAATTATTTTAAACAAAGATATATTAATTTATAGTACACTGAATCTAGCACATGAATATCAATTAAACATAAAAATAAGTTGATCAAAATTATTTAACTTTTACATAAATGTATATTTGTTATTATGTGTATATTTATTATTATAAATTATTAAATAATTTTAATCAGTTTGTATTTATTTAAGAACATATATAACTCTAAAATTAAATAATATTTTGGCAAATTATATTGGTTATAATATACATATTCATATAATATATATTATACATAGATGTTAAGATTAAATTTAGTGGATTATTCCTTTGACAATGCATATTTAATTATCACAACCTGCTCACAACCGGAAGCACACAGAAAGAAGGGGAAAAAAAAGAGTCTGCAAAGAGCGAGCACGGCTCATTTGTCGTCGAGTTTCTGACTCGGTTGCATTGACGAACGAGCTCTAGAAAGCAGTAGGAAAGGATTGGTGCAGAGGAAACGGCCGCAAAAAGGAGTCGACAACACGGAGGGCAAAGAAGAGCGACGCTCGAGGAACAGGGACACGTTAAACGCGTCGCGGAAATAGAATACCACGCCTTCTAGTTTACCTAATTGCCGCGAGCCATGGCGAACTTGTCCCCTAATTATTCGATGACGAATGGCACGAGAGTAGAAGTACGAGATAAAGCGCGACCAAATCTTATTCTGACGTTGCTGGCCATTTCATATGCGACATCAACCCCGAGCATAATTAATTTATATGCAAGTCGCGAAGATTGGCAAATCTGCCTCGAAGACTTTATAATTAGGATCTTTTGTTGCCAATCAAGATCTTAATGATATCTGAACAATTAAATTACTTATCAATTATCAACAAACTTATTAATAACATAAATAAGAAAATATATTCATTCTGACACTTAAAGACGTTAGATATTTAATACTTCAATTTCTACAATACATTCATAATATCGATAATATTTTGAGAGATATAATATCGAAGTAAAAAGATTTAAAAAATTGTCACTCGATATCATAATGAATTCATTCAAGAAATGCTTTTCTCGTATCATTCCTTGCTCTTTATGTTGTTCTTTCACGAAGATTTACGTTGACGGCTTTGTAGTTGGACGCGACGTCCCACATGTCTCAGTCCTAACGGCGCAAACGAGAATTGTCCTCTCCTTAGATCTCGAATTTATCGCGTCGGCCATTACGGTGTGTAAATCACGACATGGTTACGTGCCCTCGGATGGAAATTAGTCGTTGAAATCCTCGAAGGCGTATATGAGATGCCGTAGAATTAAGTCGCTCGATTCTCATTAATTATTCATAAAACATAAATTGGTTCTCTATTATGCCATGTCGGATAACTGAAATACATTAAATGCAATGCTGTTTCTAGCGACCGTATTTTGGCAGTAATTGTTCTCAGAAATAATTTCATGTGAAGATTTGCTAAGCAAATTACAATAGTATAGTATGATGAACTGTATATAGAAATAATAAATGAACCATGTCTTAAAAAAAGTTTTCGTTTCTTGGACTTTCAAATTTATATAAAGTTACAATATAAAATATAAACAATTCTAATGATTATAAACACAATTTTGAAAATAATATTTCAGAAAAATTGTGGATTAATTTCACTATCACCGTTGTTTTACACTTAACTGCAAATAAGAGAGAGTTGTTGCATGGCAGAATTAGCAGGGGAGACAGATAAATAGTGGACGAAGAGCAGAAACATTGAGTAGGCGTGGAGCCTGCAGGAAGTAATGGATCAAACTCACAGGCGACAGTCCTCTCCGCGCGATTTTACAGATTCGTTACCGCAAGAGACGTCTCATGTAGATTTTATAACAATTAGCTTCTCTAATATCCGTAATAATGTTGCCAGCCGATGCAAAATCGGTCTCGACGGTATACAATTCTCGAGTTCAAAGACTCGAAGTAATCTTTGAAGATTCTGACATGTATACTTGCGCTATCATTATTTAAGAAGACTATTTTTATTTTCTATTAACATTATTAAGATTTTATGGATAATAAATGTCATGAATGAAAATTCGGAAAAACTTCCTGATAATACATAGGCAACTGTCAATGTTAAATAATTATAAAATTTTGCTTTTCAAATATAATCTTGCTCATTATTTATATTTTGTTGTAAACGTGAAATAACTTCTATTTTGAAGTCAAAACTTCTAAAAAACTTCTTACTCAACTATATTATTTATATATTTATATATTTATATAATTATTATTTGTAAATATTATAATCTCGAAAAGAATATAATATTTATAAATTTGATTATCTTTAGCAGAATTGTTAAAATATAAGATTATTTTTAAATTTGCCTAACTACGGTAATACGCAGATATCATTAATGTTTAATTATATAAACAATATTTGCGACGCATCCGACATATTAACAATATTTAACTGTTAAAAACTGATTAAAAACCGGTTTTGCCATCGGTGAATGTATGGTTTTATCTGATTAAACGGAACAAATATATATATATTATATGTGCATTAAATACTTCTCAATATATAATACTCTCTGTATAATACTTGCAATAAAGGCAATAATTATTTAGCTAATAATTACAATAATTATTATAAAATTGAAATATTGCCACAATTTTAATTATATTTGTTCTTGACAAAAGGACTTGATAAATTAAGTGATTTAATAAAATAAATACAAGTGTTTTACACTTGTGAAAATTTTGGTTTTGGCATTAAATATAAGCAAATTTACTCTTTGCATATATCCATGTAATAAAATGCTATGCTATTGAATATTTAACAAATTATAATTTAAAATATACTTAAAAAATAAAACGTATTTCCGTTATTTATTTAGACACTTGAATATATTCTACTATAATAAATAAGCCGAAAAAGTACTTCTAATTCAATGTTGATTCTAATCAATTTTGTGATCTTAAATAATGATTTAAACATGTAAAAAATGCAATTAGAATATAGTTATAATTATTTTTTTTATTATTAATGCCAACTTGTGTCTTGAGAAAATATTCTTTTTTTACTTTAATTTAAAGCAATAGAAAAGGAAAAATACTTTCAAATAGAATATTTTACGTTATACATTTATGCGATTTTGTTAGAAAATGTAATAGAGCGTAATGGACTTAATTAAACTCACCATAATACATCTCTGGTTCAGGAGATATCGAGCATACTATGTCGGTATCGTCGAGCTCGATTTCTTCCGCCATTGACATTGATGAATCAGGTGCAACAAGCATTCTTCTCTCCAATTCATTACCTGCAAATGTGTTATTTTATTTAATTTTTATCATTGTGTCGCATCAAGATTGTTTATAAAGTCTATTTGAAATTTTAAAAATTTACACTTTGCCATATATAAAATATATCATAAAATTATCTTCAATCGTATAATAACAAGATATATTGATTAAAAATTATCATTAATCAAACATTTATTCAAAAAAATTGATCTTTATATCACATTATGTATGGGCATATCGTGAAATTTTTTTCGGAAGGGTTTTCTATCAACCCAGGGATATAGGTGCACCAATCGGAATGACAATAAAAAAAAAGGATTTTGGCATTACACGATGAAAAGAAAGTCAATGTACCAATTTTGTTGTTGTGATTTACAATAATTTTTAACATTAATGAATTCCATTTGGATATTTTTATAACTTTTATTGTCTCTTCGTGCATCATTTTGAAAAGGAAAAATGTTTTTTGCACATGTAATTTTTACATTATTAGGCATTGATCAATGTAAGTGGACTATGTATGTGTACTAACTCACTTTGAGACTCTCTCAAAATGAAATAATTAATAAAAAATTTCGGGGGGTTAAACCCTCCTCCTCCCCTTCATGATTATATATGTAATAAATGATTTATAATATAATATTTGATAAAAAATACAATTTAAAA